TGTAATTTCTTTTAGTATAAATCAATACATGTTTTATTCGTAGTACCTTTGTTGTATATTGCCATTATTACGTTGCCACAAAATTTGAAATAAATGAATTAACAACTTACAATCCAGAACAATTTCATTACTTGGTTCTTATGATTTTTTTTTTATCACAAACCCTATAAAGTATATAGAAAATAACAGGTATTCATATTCATTTGAGATGGGGACGCCACCTTGGTGCGTATTAGCCCAATATGAGTGAAGGATGAGTGTAGAATGGTGTGATGCTTTGTGTAGCTTTGTTAGCATATTGACTAAGATCAGCTGTTAGCCAGAACCATTTATTAAAAGCCCCAATGATCAAGTACAGCTGGGTCCAGTTTCAAACCATCAAAAAGCTATACACTTTTCTCAGGATTGAACCGATGAAATTTATTACCAAATTTAAAAGGTTCTGAAATCATCAAATAAAAACGATAAGCATTAAACTCATAAAAAAATGGAAATTGAAAAAAAAAATATTTAAATAAAAAAAATAGCGATTTAGGTTACTGTGAAAAGGTGAAGCTAATTATTCCCGTTTGATCTTTGGTTTGTATTTTTCTTGCTAAAATAGCGCGAAAGTGAGCCTATTTACTTAGCAATTAACGTATAGTGCCATTGAAATAATCTTTTTAAGTTTATAGTTTAAATAAGTTTATATTTTACTTTAGATCACAATTAATAATCTACTAATTAACGTATTGATTGTAATCAGTTAACGTAAGATAGTAAATAGTAAGGTACAAGTGATGATTTAGTAACTAGCAGCATTGAACTAGGAACCAGGATAATATTTTGTGTTAACTCAATACTCAAGATAAGGTCATCTGAACCTCAGTCGCGTACCGATATTAAATGGATTGGAAAAGGCTCTCCTTTATTTTCCATTTGACGAATTTCCATTTAGGTGATGAACGTCAGCATTTCGATACTTTTTTACCTTTAAAAATTAATGAACACAATGCAATTGCATAGTATATAATCTTACTAATATTATAAATGTGAAAGTTTGTGTGTTTGTTTGTTTGTTTGTAGTAAAAATGCTACTCTAGACCCGCAACGCATCCATTAAAAGCAGATGTTTTTGCTGCAGTATGACGAAAAAAATATTATTGCAACAAAAATTAAATCATTAAACAAAACCCGAACTACAATCTTCTGAGGATACGTTATACCGATTGATATAATGACTTTCTAACAATTTCTAGTATTGGACTTTGCTGCAGTCAAGTGGGAGTTACTATTTACTTGCAAAACTCAATCAACGACCTCCTATGACTTACACAGGTCCGTTTATCAAAGGTTAAGCTGAGAAAATCCCAGTCGTCGGGTAGTCGTAAAAGCAATAAAGCGGTGTAACCCGAGCTCTAATTGGTCCGTTTACAAGATTCTTATCTGTGATCTCAGTTTCTCAAACGTCTAAAATATACTGGGTATAACCATGGATATTAGCCAATTGTATTTACATTGTTTTGAAACTGAATTAATTATTATTCAAATTTTAAGTTTGAAGATACGCAATTGTGTAAAAATGTTAACACTTTTCAACAAATTTAATAAATGGGGACGTGGATAAACAGGTAGCATTTATCAAGTTTATTTGTACTAGTCATGAATTGGTGAAGTTGGTGAGTCGATGGCTCAGTCGGTAGCGTCACGGACTCTCGGGTCCTAGACAGCGATATCGTAGGTTCGGATCCTGGTCACTGCCGATAACATTTGATCAGTATAGTTCACCTTTGTACTGTACCCAGGGCCCTGCTACTATCCCCGGCCCTGACTGTACCGGCTCACCCGTTGCTTTGCTATATACGATCCACTCACGGGCAGTTCGTCTATGTGGACGGACAAATTCAAAGTTAAAAGAGGTGGCCATAAAAAAAAAATAGTTTAAAATGTCAGTATTTTCAATCTAGAAATTTACGGATATATGACGGTTTAACTACCTGAGTCGATGACTTTAAACACTACTAAAATATTTAGGCTATATTTTAAATTTTACATCCCCAACGGTGTGATAACAGTTTGCATTCAATCACATTACAAGATCTTTTTCTACGAATTTTGATTGAAGTGGATGATCTGAAGAAAAATTTGAATTTTAAAAATGGCATAGCAGTTAATAAAGGTAATCCAGCCCCAACTAGATTCAAACTTGGACGTAAAAGAAGCCCGAAAAGTTCCAAACAAGAAAATACTGCGGCAGGTTGGTCCGTAAATTGTGTTGTTAAATAACTTCCTGAACAGAAACTACATCCCAACATGTGCTGCAAGAGCGGAAGTTGAGCAATTCTTTACTTTTAATTTTTTTCATCATTTTTATAAAGAGGACTATAATCTATTTTTTGCTTATATTAATTACTAAAATATGAACAAAATACTGTTCAAATGTATTTCAGTGTGTAAAAACTATAGAAAACAACATTTTAGTACTGTTTTGTGAGCTGAAAATATACTTATTAATAATTTTTTGCATTACCAAAATATAAACATAACACTGTTTAATAAACATATAAATCGAATAACATTTTGTTATAGGCACGTATATGTACGGTTGAAATTCCCAAAAATACCTAAATACATTGCATTCTTGTTGTGTTGATCTTCAACACATAAATTTAAATTTTAACTTGAAACTGGTAGGGAAAAACAAAAAAAAACTCCATACGTGATTAAATGTTTACTAGTGAGAGTATTTTTTCTTCATTTTCCTAAGAGTACAATACAAACTTGAACTGATTATAAACTGAATCATTGTCAATAAAATTGACATTTGAATACCATTTTATAAAATGATAGTGAACGAGTATTCAATAAGTCAAACTAATCTTCTTTTAATCCATCCGTATTTGATATCATACTTCATTTACCAACTTTGATGGGGACGCTGCATGGCATAAAACTCGAATATAAGCAAAGATTAAAAATTGTAGAATATCGATACTATGTGTAGTTTACTTACTAACGGCTGAATTTGCTTATATAAATAAATAAGCTATAAGGATATGATGATTTTAAAATCATGTTTAAAACTAAAATTTATGTTTATTTTCCAACCCCTACATAAAGCCTGGTAAAACATGTTAATGATGTTTGCAATCACCGCATGTGATGGCATGTCAGTTAAACAGATAACGACATTCACCACAACACGGAAAGGGAGGATGTCAACCCATCGATCCTAACTACTTCATTAAATGTTTGTTAACTTTAAGCTAACACAATTTAACTGTTTTTATTACATACTGGGGCTGTACCCGTGCTTCACAACGGAAAAATTCAGTTTAGAAGGATGGCTGTTCCCATTATCATAACATATCTTGATAGCCTAGTTAATACTATCTCTTGGTCGATACAGCAAGGGTTATAGAAACTGTTTTTACTTCCATAATCAACGATATAGTTTTAGAAAAGTAATCAATGACAAATTTATTAAATAGACCTACCACATATAGTTGTGTAAAATATTATATTTAATTTGTTTGGATCAGCTGTGAAATTGTGAAATAGGCTTTATTGACAGTTCTGATTGTTTACATTGAAATGTCAACGCAAAGGTAAACATTGTGAATTTCCTCATGCTTCCATGGAGATCAATTAATATTTTCTTTACCAACCTCACCTCAAAATTTTGGATATCCAAGGGCTCCTACACCGAGAGGAACCCAGAGAAGTGAATAGGCCTAAGACATTCATGAGATAATGTATGTTAAGACATATTTAAGATATGTGAACCATCTTCGTGCTTAATTTTGGCTGTATCGGTTTAGTATTTTAGTCGTGGTAGCTGCACAGACAGATAGACAGACAGACACCACCTCAATTGTATAATCGTATAGATATATTATGAAGCTTTTGTCAATTAACTTATATTTACAGCTATGTTGTGTTAAGACTACCTATGTTTTATTCCTTCTTTTATATTATTTAAAATTTTAGTTAATTACATATAGGTACGTAGCTATTACAATGGTACCATGGTCCGGGGTCGATTTACTTTTTATTTTGACGTCCCCAGAGGCCAAAAACACTAATCGTTCAAAATGTTAAGTGCCTGTGAAATCGATTTACTCGAGTCATTTTAGTCCGATTTTCATCAAATTTCGGTTTAAGGTATGTGCAGTGTGAATAAACTAGAATGAGTTCGCGAACCAGCATGATTGGACCATGAGAACTGGGATTAATGGGGTAAAAATTAATTTTCCCTTTTTAACACTCAAAAGTAAAAAAAAGTATTTCTTCCTCACATATTTTGAAGAGCTTAAAAACAAATAATTTAGTAAATTAGAGTGTTTTATACGGTTATTGGTCACGGAGAAAATTAAAAAGAAAAAGTTGTAAATTAAGATTTCCTTGTTATTATTATGGAGAATAGTAAGTAAACTGAAGTAATTTGCTTGTTTATGCAATTATTTGGTTGTTTATGTTTATAATGAGATCAAACTTGGAAAATTTATTTATTTAATACTGAGCTACTAATATTTTGCTAAAAAAAACAAATTTCATTACCCTCCGTAACAAAACCTAGGTTAAACGTAATATATTTAATACGCTAGGCATACTTTACTTTACTTTTTACTTTTCTTTGAAATGGTGACCAAACAAAGTAGGTATTTTGAGCCAAGTATGAATGGAGATGAGTATTTTTTTCATAATTGTTTTGGAGCGGTGGTGCTACCAATCACCATGTCCAAGGTGTCGTTAGAAAGGCCTAAGCATGTAGTTTTGCCATCAAACAAAAAAACTTTGGAATTCCATCAGGGCTCTGCCCCAGTGGCCATCAAGGTTCCTATGTTATTCTTAGGGAGAAAATGTTTGTTTACATTTGAACAGATGAATACTTGAAATTGACACTTATATTTGAAACAGCTGGTTATACTAAAAATGGAGACATGTGCTATAAGGATTTATTACTTGAACAGAGTGTATTTACACAAAATCAAAACATAACCTAAAAACGTTCTACATAATTGAGCTTTTATTGATTTTGTATATAAAGGCGTAGTGTTAATTATGCACATTATTTCTGGAAGTTATTTGAAACCTAAGATGTGTGTCTATTATTTTCAACCATCTACACTCTCTGCTGCGTATTAGATGCGAATGACAAAAACAACTCCTCCAGGGTAGTGTTTGATGCCGTAAAGTCTGCCACAATTTGGTGATCTTGTTTGAACTGTAACAAGCTAGAGAATAGTTGACTGAGCAAAATGTCCGGATTGAGAATGGTGTAGTGGATCAATGTGTCGTGCTCGTCTTTCACAACGTTGTCAGGGAACAAGAGATCAAAGTCCCGCTTGAGTAACTCAACGTCCTCTGGATTGTGTTCTCCAAGTTTTAGAAGTACGGAGAAACCATTGCCAAACCTGGTCTTGAGGTACTCCACGTTCCCGATGCACTTCATCCTCCCTGCTACCATTATTGTGAGCCTGGTACATAGAGCTTCACACTCGTCCATGCTGTGTGACGTCAGCACTATTGCTTGCCCTTGCTTCTGCAAGCTCTTTATGACGGTCCACAGCTTCCTCCTCGACGCCGGATCAACACCGGTGGTTGGTTCGTCCAGAAACACGACTTCTGGCGACCCTATCAGTGCCATCGCCGTGCCTAACTTGCGTTTTGTCCCTCCAGAGTATGAACCGCATCGCTTCTCTGCGTGTTCGAGGATTCCCATCATGCCTAGCCAGGTCTCCACAGCGTTCTTCGTTTCCGACGACGGAATACCTCGTATCTTCGCAATAATCTGCAGGATCTCCCGACCAGTAAGGGAAGGCAAAATGGCATCATGCTGGGGACAGTATCCGACTGACGTCATGTACTGCCTTCTGTCTGTCTTTATACTGAACGAATTAGCGAACGCGTCTCCTCTGTCTGGGATAACTTCTGCAGTCAGCATTTTGAACGTCGTAGATTTTCCCGCTCCGTTCACTCCTAATAGGCCAAAGCATTCCCCTTTTAAAACTAAGAAGCTTACTTTATCCACCGCTTTTGGACCTCGTGAATACTTCTTTTCCAAACCTTCAACTCGCAACGGCGTATCTTTGTTCTCGTACTTGTGAGCTTCTACTCTTAGAGTTTCCCGCTTAACGTCTTCATCTGCATCGGTTGGTGGAGAAAGGTCAGCCTCCCCACATGTAAGTATCATTCTGATATTACTTATCAGTCCACAGTCCACCAACAAAACAATTAAAGGATAAATTAGAGATGCACATAAAAGGAAAATAAGGTATAAAAGGATTCCAGATTGATCATCCTTATTTGGCATTCTTAACACATCAGATACGTCTTTAGGACACAGTTCGTCTTTGCACACTCTGCAAAATTCTTCAAGTACAATTGCCTTCAATATGAATCTTAGACACAATAGTGTAGCCGAAACTGGATTTAAGCAAAGAACGCTCACAACCAGAATAAAAATGGGGAGGCCAAACAGCATTAATATCCCAGTACTCACTAGTAACGCTGGAAACACCCCCAAGCAAATCATTAGAACGTTGTATATGGCGAGACTTGACCCTTGGCTGTCAAAAACGAAAGAATATAAATACATCAGAGGGATCGCAGCTAATCCTTGAAGGAGGAACACTAAGAAAAGTAAACAAAACCATGTGAAACGCATTAATGTAATCCTCGGCCCGAATATTGAAAATATTATCAAAATCAAAATTGCCGAGGTAAAATACACACAAAAATCAAATGTCCAGTTTACAAACCAATAGACTGTTGGAGAGAGACCCGCTAGAAACTGTTGATGTTTAAACCCTGTTGTTCTGTCTTCGATGATAAAACTTAACAGCTCACTCAGTAAAATAGTAAATCCTATTGATAAAAGTATTAGGTAAGGGTATATTATCAGGATCTCCAAGGCAACCTCATTAGTCTTTTCCCTATTGCAAATTTTTGTCTCCGTATTGACGTAAGGATAATTGACAGCTTGAATTAGTCCACTTCTGTTTGTTTTGTTCTGCAATAAAATGTTGGAGAGAAAGTTGATAGCGATTGCAGGAGCGTGTTGTTTCCTTCCAGCGTGATGTCTTATGACAACAAATCCGTCTGTAAATGTTAATGCAAATAAAACTTTCCGAACGTATTCATAATTGTTCTCGGTAGTTTCTTTGGACAAATAATCGTCAAGTGCAGATGTGTCTGAGAAGACCATAACTTTTCCAGACAAAGATTGGGCTATTTTTACACCAATATCAACCATGCCTTTGAAACGTTGATTATCGTACGCCAACAGAACTAAGGAGTTTGGGTATAACCTCAGATTAATTAGTAGTTCTTTTTGTTTTTCATATGTGTATCGTTCTATCTGAGTAAATACTGCAAAGGATATTAGAACGAACAAAATAAAACACAGTTTAAAAAGAAAAGAAAATATGTGTCGTTTAACATAGATAATTCTTTTTTCGTATAGAGCACTGATCTGTTGACGAATAAGGTCGATCCCCTGCAGTCTCTCATGTTCGTCCATTTTAAATGTTTTGGACACGGACTGTTCGGATTTTTCCGTGTTCAAAACGTCTCCCATTGGCAAGGAAGCTACCTTTAGAAACACATCCTCCAAAGAAGCGCACGTTACTGTTATAGCTGTAATATGTAAACTACTTTTTTGTTTCTCCAATGCGGTGAACAAGGCTGGAAATTTATCGACATTTTCCTCTTTGGTGATATAATTCACTTGAATTTTTGACACGACCTTAACATGGGTATTCGGGATGTTTTGTTTAACCACATTAGATATGTTATGGACATGTGCTTTGTGTGATTTTAATACGTGGATTTGATAGCCTGTGCCGAAGAGTTTCTTTAGGAATAACGAGGTTCCACAGCAAACAACTCTGCCACGGTCCATGATCGCTATCCGGTCTCCCAACACATCAGCCTCCTCCATGAAATGAGTAGTGATCAACACAGTTCTCTCCCCTCTCATCCTTAGAATGACGTCCCAGAGCGACCGCCTGGTCTGTGGGTCGAGTCCGGAAGTAGGTTCGTCTAAGATTACCACCTTCGGATTTCCTGCGAGAGCTATTGCAAGGCACAATCTTCGCTGCATGCCTCCTGAAAGTTTGGAACCCCAAGTTTCAGCTTTATCTAACATACTCAGACTGTATAACAGACTCTTGCCACTTTTTTTAGATCCCGAGTATGACATACCCTTTAGCATTCCAAAAAACATTAAATGTTCTAAGATAGTTAGTTTTGAAAAGTATAAGTTTTTTTGAGGACACAGACCGAGGTTTTCTCTGAATTTACTTTTGTTTACTGTTATGTTTTCACCCTCAAACATGATCACCCCTTTGGAAGCAGCTGTCATTCCTGTGATCATAGACATTGTGGTTGTTTTCCCTGCTCCATTGTGTCCTAGAAGGACCATTATTTCCCCATGGTAAATGTCCAAATCCACTTTGTCCACAGCGACAGTTTTGTTATAAATCCCAAATATTTTGCGCAATCCACGAAGCGCAATACCAGTCTTAACGTTTTCCCCAACAGGTTCGAAGTTTTCCGGGGATTCGTGTACTATTTCACTATAATCTAAGACATCTTTCTCCGATAAACGTTCTCTTATCCATTTGTACACAAAGTTATACGACTTTGGTACACCGTAAGGCCCTGGGTATATAGCGTCTAAATATATGAGTAACATTGTGTGCAACATTGTACTTACAATAAACGAAACCATCGAACCTCCCACTGATGTCTTGAACTTTGTATATCCTTGAGTAAATACACAACTCCACGTCCATTTTTCACCGTACATTTGGAATGACACCAGCGAACTCAGTGCCCAGCAAAGATTCGGTATGGGAAATAAACTCAAGATTAGCTCCATGAACGAAGTAATGTTCTCTGGTTTATTAATGACCATGATAAATAACAGTAGGTGCAACACAAACCATCCTACTAAGCTAGCGGTTAGAGCCACATTAGTTCTGTAGAACAGACAACTCACAGCAAAAAGCACCACGATGAGGTTAATAGTGAACAGCAAAAACAAAATAAACACAACCAACCCACCAGCACTAATGAAAATTGGTTTCCAAGCCGTCATAATGAGGGTAACTACTAGAATTACCGGCAGTTGAACCATCATACCGTAGATAAACCAATGAAACCAGATCATCCAAGAATCTACTCCCATTATCTTAGTCAGCTCTTTGGTACCACATTCCTTCTCTTCGACCACATCTTTGATCACTGACACCAAAAGGAACAAATAAGCAAACACTAAGAACACAAATAAAACGTTTGTCACGATGAAAAGATCTTGTTCCTTTGATGGAAGGTGGCTAAAGAACAACTCTAACCGGTTTGAAATTTTTGCGTTTTGGAGTATTGCTTGATCCAAGACCATTTGAGTACCTAAGAAGACTGGTGCGTAAGGATAATTCCTTGTGGAAATATCATTATCTATTGTATTTGTCACCATTGTTGGATCAGTTGTTCTTATTTTGTATCTGTAAATGTCTCTTGGAGGATCTATTGAAGAAAATACAATGCCTATATCTCTTTCAAATAAATCAGATGAATAATTTACAGATCTACTCCTCAGCCACTGGTCGAGTTCACTTTCAGTGGTCTTGGACTCTTTTCTGATTGATATTGGACTAAGGTTCTTGATTTGCTGGACCACGTTTTCAATGATCCCACGCGAGATATTGTTCTGTGGAGCGTAGGCGACTTCAAGATGTGTGAGACGGGCAAAGAAGAAAGAATAATGTGATTTTAAGGAGATCTCATTACTTTTAACCTGGTTTCCGGATGACACCATATCCTCAATGTAAATTAAAATGATCATCATTAATATAGGGATGGCTAGTTCTAACAAAGACACGATCCAACCTCGTCTTCGTAGTATTTGACACTTCCAGCAAAGAACTACTAACCTTTTACAAAATGTTGTCATTTTAAAAATGTATTTTTGATTTTGAAATTGACAATCTCATACTAGTTTTATAAATACAAACAACAAAAACAAAATAAAGCTTAACCACAGTCATCTGTTAATAGTTTCAAGCTATGGAAAACGTATGATGACTTTTTGGTTTCGGTACTTTGGTTTAAGCATAGATTAAATAGTAAGGAGTCTCTCAGCTTTACAATTCTTGTGGATCATTCATAAATTGAATTACGTTTCTGTCACGTTTATTCAGCTTTCTTGTCATTTGACTAATTAGAAAGTGTTATTTCTGAGCCATATAGCATAGTAAATACTGAACGACCTATGCTAAAATAACATAAAGCACAAAACGAAACGGGCTTCCGATTGTACAATAGGAAGAGAAGTTTATTTGCACTGCGTGTCAATGGATTTAACTAATTACAATTTATAATTCGAGTTGTCTCTCAAGTTAAATGGAAATGAAGTTAAATTCTTATACAAATTATGAATTTCTTTATGAAATTATGGAATTATGAAATTCTTTATCTAGGCCTAGATTTGGAAAAAAATACTTGATTTATTCAAACCCTAAGACTATATCGTGACTAATGTGTAAAACTATTATGCACTACATGCATCCTTCATATAGTGTGACACAAGAAATTCTGTTGCAGAAAACGTGTATTTGTTTTTTTAAAAGGTGGTACACGTATAGTAGATAAATAATTGTTGAAATCTGAAACATTTGATTGTTTTAAATATACTCGATGAGGATTGTGCTAATCTGTGCGGAATGATTCATAAATTATGCGATACAAACTGTGAAATGCTCATTCACTTGGCTGCCCACGCTTTTTAACTTTCAGATATTTGGTTCGTTTTCCTTTCTGTTCTGGAACCAGTAGGCTGAAGAAATATTAATGAGATGTTCCTCTCGCGCACCATTGTACACTCCACTGTAGAATTATCACTGAAAGAAAACTACTTCTGATTTCATAGAATATAACTATAATAACATTTTATAATTTCTTAAGATGAATATTGTGGTGAGTCTAAATTTCCAGTTTAATCATCTAACCGTTTAGGGTACATCACTGGACTGCTTACATTAAATTCTTTCTCAATCCAAAAAAATGAGTTAAATTATGTTTCTTATACCTTTAGCATTACACTATGATACATTGATACTCTTCTAAAACGCATAAAATATAATGTTTATCCCAAACCTTAGAATTTCGAGTCAAGTAATTACATCTTATATAATACCAAAAGTAGCTTACAATTAAACCTTCGTGCCAAATACTTAATGGAATGTTATTTAAGGCGGAGTTAAGCTGCTAAGAGTAATATTTTCTCTGTCATTAACAGAAAATGAGAAAGTGCAGCGATGCAAAATGATCGTAACGAAGTACCGAAATAACTCGCCCTCATTTATCAACCTTATCATAATTGTTCATCACCTAAAGTAGGAACTGTTGAAAACTTTCCACAGAGCAGAAAAGTCGCTCCATGTAGAATGTTTACTGAAATAAAAGATTAAAATAGTGACACCAGAATGTATTAACCGTACAACACGTCAATTGTATCGTGGAAGGTAACTGATAAATTATTAAGATTTCTTAAATTTTAAAAATTTAGTTTTCATCCGGCTACTACATTATTCAACATTTAGTTAGAGTGCCATAACGATAATGCCTTTGAACACGGATTATAAATTAAGACGTTAGTTAAAATTGTTATTAATGAACTCTATTAAACGGTTATCAAATCTTCATCCGAATTAAAAAGAAATGATGAAATGAATGATTGAAATGTAATCTATATTCTAAGCGTTATGTGCAAGAGGTTAGATGTGATTTCAACCCGAAGTGCATTTTGTAAGATGTGATCTCTGCTAGAAGTGCAATATGCAAGATGTAATCTTTGATAGGAGTGCAATATGCTAGTTGTGATCCCTGGTAAGAGTGCAATATACAAGATGTAATCTTTGATAGGAGTGTAATATACGAGATGTAATCCCTGATAGAAGTGCGATATGCAATATATTATAGTCCCTGATAGGAGTGTAATATGCAATATGCAATCCCTGTTAGGAGTTCATTCTGCAAGATGTAATCCCTGCTAGGAGTGTAATGTGCAAGTTGTGATCCCTAATAGGAGTGTTATATACAAGATTTAATCCCGGCTAGGAGTGCATTGTGCAATATGTGATTGCTGTCCGTATAGTGTAATGTGCAAGATTCAATCCCTGCGAGAAGTGCATTGTGCAATAGGTGATTGCTGTCCGTAGTGTAATGTGCAAGATGTAATCCCTGCTAGGAGTGTAATGTGCGAATTGTGATTCCTGATAGGAGGGCAATATACAAGATTTAATCCCGGCTAGGAGTGCATTGTGCAAGATGTGATTGCTGTCCGTATAGTGTAATGTGCAAGATGTAATCCCTGCGAGAAGTGCATTGTGCTAGATGTGATTGCTGTCCGTAGTGTAATGTGCAAAATGTAATCTCTGTGAGAAGTGCATTGTGCAAGATGTGATTGCTGTCCGTAGTGTAATGTGCAAGATGTAATCCTTTCGAGAAGTGCATTGTGCAAGATGTGATTGCTGTCCGTATAGTGTAATGTGCAAGATGTAATCCCTGTGAGAAGTGCATTGTGCAAGATGTGATTGCTGTCCGTAGTGTAATGTGCAAGATGTAATCCCTTCGAGAAGTGCATTGTGCAAGATGTGATTGCTGTCCGTATAGTGTAATGTGCAAGATGTAATCCCTGTGAGAAGTGCATTAAGCAAGATGTGATTGCTGTCCGTAGTGTAATGTGCAAGATGTAATCCCTTCGAGAAGTGCATTGTGCAAGATGTGATATCTGTCCGCAGTGTAATGTGCAAGATGTAATCCCTGTGAGAAGTGCATTGTGCAAGATGTGATATCTGTCCGCAGTGTAATGTGCAAGATGTAATCCCTGTGAGAAGTGCATTGTGCAAGATGTGATTGCTGTCCGTAGTGTAATGTGCAAGATGTAATCCCTTCGAGAAGTGCATTGTGCAAGATGTGATTTCTGTCCGCAGTGTAATGTGCAAGATGTAATCCCTGCGAGAAGTGCATTGTGCAAGATGTGATTGCTGTCCGTATAGTGTAATGTGCAAGATGTAATCCCTGCGAGAAGTACATTGTGCAAGATGTGATTGCTGTCCGTATAGTGTAATGTGCAAGATGTAATCCCTGTGAGAAGTGCATTGTGCAAGATGTGATATCTGTCCGCAGTGTAATGTGCAAGATGTAATCCCTGTGAGAAGTGCATTGTGCAAGATGTGATTGCTGTCCGTAGTGTAATGTGCAAGATGTAATCCCTTCGAGAAGTGCATTGTGCAAGATGTGATTTCTGTCCGCAGTGTAATGTGCAAGATGTAATCCCTGCGAGAAGTGCATTGTGCAAGATGTGATTGCTGTCCGTATAGTGTAATGTGCAAGATGTAATCCCTGCGAGAAGTACATTGTGCAAGATGTGATTGCTGTCCGTATAGTGTAATGTGCAAGATGTAATCCCTGCGAGAAGTGCATTGTGCAAGATGTGATTGCTGTCCTAGGTGCAACATTGGTTCGATTGTCCCGGGCAACAAGCCAATCCTGCCCTAGTCCCGTTAATTGGAACAAGAGTAATGCTGTAGAATACCCAATCCAACCCCAGTCTTAGTTGGGTACTTTTAAAGGAACACTCAGTCTATAATAAAAAAATTTCTTTAATGCAACTGGTATAATATTTTCATCTAACCCATAACCCTAATTTATTTATAATACGTAACGTTTTTTTTAAGATTTGGTGTGTTAGTATCAAAACATAGATGAGTGTAGTTATAATTTACACATTGTAATATAAAGGGTCCTGCTTTGTTCCAAATATTTTTTTAAATAATTTTGTAGACGGATTCTAGTAAGTTAAATTTGACATTTCAGTTTCTATTTTATCTTATTTTACTACAATCTAAAAATGCGGTTGTCAAATTTGTGGATTTTAAAACTTCAGTTTTAGCCTATCTTGACATAGATTTCCACGGTAAAATCAAAGCTTGGAACATTTATATGAGCACGTCCACTACACATGTTGTAGGGTGTAGGGTCCACCAGAATAATGATAAGGAGCGAGGCTTCCGACAGTAAAATTATAGATTTGCATGATTTATGAATAAAAAAATATTAGATTTTTACCAAGCATAATGCTGTCAACTAACGTGCTTTGACATCACTGTTATTATGTCAGAACTGTGCACTTATATTCGCAATGCAAGATCTGCTACTGCGATTAGCAGGAAAATTTTAAGTGTTGAGGCAAACTCAACAAAGTTCAAACTCTCATTGAACGAATATTACTATCATGCAATTTGCTCATGTTTATTGTTACTCCCTTTTAGGGTGTTTATATTAAACATATCCATATCAATCATAACAAAGATCGACTAAAAGTGAAATATTGGCCTTTACACGACAATTTTCAAAATTTATTTTGTTAAAGTGTTACAGTATCTGTCACAGGGAGTTGTCGTCAAACTGATAGATATGGGCGCTGTTGTCAAGCGAGGGAATATTAGTAAGGCGAATCTTGAGATTGCGCAGCTGTTTTGCTACTGTTTTGTAACAGTAGTTTTTATAACCAATTTTCTCCCACGTGTCAATGAAAACAAAATAAACATAAACATTTAATCGACCCAAAATTTCTCGTAGTCAAAATTCAAGTAAATAATTCACCACGATGGTTGTGATAGTGGACGCCTGCAGAAGAGAGAGTGATTTCCAAGAGGCGAGGCCATGGTGGGAGCCCCCTTACGTCGTCTATGGCTTCAGCAACCCAGCGGTCAAGTACAGACTGGAACTGTTGATGGGGTCCTATGTGGTCCGCGCCACAGATAAAACCTATATGTTGACACTGGGCCATCGGATGCGGGAAGACTTCGAGGATACAGTGCGCAAAAGGATCAAAGACAGAGCTCAGGCAGAAGTGGATCGTGAAAAAGTGTTGATTCTGGAGGGAAGGATGCCTCCAGAGAAAGCACCTAAGGAGTTATCCAACCACCCTGTCTTCAGGATAACTCTCCTGGCTAAACGAATGATCGAGGAAAAGAAACTCAAGGAGGAAATGGCAAAGAGGCCAAAGAAGTTGAAGATATTCGACTACAGTTTACTGGATGGAATGGAAGAAGAGGTCGTAGAAGATACGGAAATGACCAGCTGCATCGACGAGGAGGAAAGTGACGAAGAGCGGATGAGAAAATTAGCAGACATGGAGGAGTATTTGGCGGAAGAAGAGGTTTTTACTGACGAAGATTATTTAAGGATTAAGTATGAAGATCCTTTAGTCGAAGAGTTGATGCAAGTGGAGGCTGTGGATGATATGTATGAAGTGGCTGAGGAGATAGTTGGACAGCTGACTGGCAAGAGATGTGGTGGACTGGTTAAGTCATAAGGTAATGACTGATGTAACATAGCTTAGGTATTAAAATTCGTAAAACATATTTAGACTTTGTTTAATAAGTTACTTAAAAGTATGCTAGATTTGAATCTTAAACAAAAGGTAGGTTTAAATCAATTAATAGATAGAAATTAACACAGATCCTCTTCTGTAATAGGAGGTGACATGCTTGTTTGCAACGGCGATTTCATTCAACATGAGATAACTTTAAATGTAATAATCCCGAGACGGAATGACTGAGAACGTTAAACAAATTTTCTGTACAACTTTACAAACATAAGTGTACATTTGTTCAGTTACATCAACATTAAAACTCTAGACTCTAGATCATGCTCTGAAAATAATTCTGCTCATTAAATTCTGTACTCGTGAATTTGTCCTACTATTTAAAAACCTACAAGGCAATGATGGCTTTAGGCCTATAGAGCGTGGATTTACCAATAATGCAATTGCGTAGGTTGAAAGTGAATTAGGTAAAGTCATAATGAAATTACATATAGGCTAGGCACTTTTTAAATTCAAGCGTGAGTTTAATGGTAGTCAATTATTTGAGATAGCTTTTTTTTATATATTTTTAATAATTAAAATCTCGGGTATTTACTCAGGGGAGGTATAGAAGAGGCTACGATGACAGCTGTGGACTTCTTATTAGCTGAAGGAACGCCATCACCGTAACAATACGGTCAGTGGCCATCGGCCTCGGTGGTCTAGTGGTTAGCGTGCCGGGCTGATATGCTGAAGGTCCCGGGTTCGAATCCCCCTGGTAGCTCTAACTTCTTGTCAAAGATTTTTTCATTATCAGCAGGTTTGGTTCGGTTATGACAGTTTAATTTTATTATAAGTCATCATAAAATTTTAATTTAGCATGAGCAATTTCTAGTTTTATAAACATCCACCTTATAAACATAATTATTTTTTCATTACTAAACATTTGTTATATTATTTCATTATCAGCAAGTTTGGTTAGTTCGGTTAGGTTATGATAGTTTAATTTTATATTTAAAAAATTATAAAATTGAATTTGAGGCATTTATAATTTTATTTTATGAACAGAACTATTTTTGCGATTAGTATTAGTAAACCTTCATTGCCAAAGTGCTCTCTTCTACAGCGCTGTTCATGGAGGAATTTTGAACTAATGCCTCATTCGTACCTCCCCTAAGTCAGACCCAAAATCTCGTATCTCAAGTTGCTGAAAAGTCATCCTCAGAAACAACTTATTTTGAACCGCTCCCGTTCACGAGAATAAGATATGAAACTATTTAGAGCATCACGAAATTTACGCCTGATAAACGTTTATCCTGACAAAACTACGGTGCCATAACTTTTAAACTTTGTGAGCCGCTTAATCCAAATGTATATAGAAAGGGGGCGGGGGCAGCGTCTGGGAAAATGGAAGGGTTTCTGAAAAAGAATCAAGGCCGCAAACCCTCCCCTTGATTAAGACAATTCAATTCCCCAAAGATATTGAACTCCCACGCTATTGACTTAAATACAATAACTTCAACAAGCTTACTTGTACTATAGTCAAAATATAGATATTTACTATTTAATTTTAATTTAATATTGACTATCGTCCAATATACTGAGAATAGTTTTGTATTTCATTATAAACTAAACTTTAACTTAGATTTATGGCTTTTTTGTACAGCCAGTTGGATATTATGAGACAGGATTACATTTTTCATGTATAAGAATTCATAAACACATTAGGATTGGCGGACAAAGTCACATTTTGAGTTATTTCTTTTATCACTAGAAATATTTCTAACGCATTTTATAGTTCCTTTGCCCATTTTTGCAAAACTTTAAAAACCACAAGATTTGGTTCACACATGCAGTACATCCATTATAAACTTGATTTTTGTTTACTAAAATAGCTGTTCACACTGAACTTCGTATTAAATAACAATATATCTTGCTTAGACTACCTAAGCTGTGCCTTTGAAGGCAAGACTTAGCTGGATTGGGCTGACGTTGGTTTTAAGTGCTTTAAACTCAATTTATCAGATGTGATAGTGTATATAATTTCTCGTGATAACCTAATTAACTAAATTAATTGGTTTTCGATTAATGTTATGCTCTTTTTTATTGGTTACGGTGAAACAGATAGCCTAATTATGTTATCATATAGGTTTCGAAATATAAAAACTCCTGATAGAAACTAAGCTGCTGATTAGGCCAATAGCGTGAGTAATTCTATAGACACTTATCTATATTAATCTGTTTACGAGTGCAGTATAACAAAAAATCGAGCATACGCTTAATATTATTCGGTTATCCTATGGTTATTTTTCTTGCGTTTTGTTGTTTCATATCGCTGTTTTTCACTAACGTATTTACTCAAAAAGTTAAGTTGTCACGCAGAAATTATGAACTTTATACTATTAAAAATTGTGAATCCAATGAATAAATAAATACACGATCCCTAAGGGTTGTCTTAAATTAAGTGTTATATAGGTTTTTGGGGTTTCCAATAATTTTCATTGGTTGTTTTTTATACGGTTCTAGATTCATTAGATTTATTCATTTACTTGGCTTTAAAAAAAAATACTTTCAAAACTTGTTAGTTATTTATGCATTCAGTTTACAGTTACATTGTCTCATAATATTTGTTGGAAGTGACTTTAAAACATGGTTTTGAATTCCTCAAAGTGCAAATATTCAAACTACGTGTGTTTCATTCAATGCGAACCCTCTTGAAAGAAATACATTAGACTCGGAGCTACTGAAAAACAGACCAGTCATGAGGCTTCGTGCGTTGATTTGTAATGTGAGTTTGTTCGGTGTCTACAATGTAAGCTGGAGATATGTTTTACTAAAATGTCTCTTCCAGGCGTTTACTGCAGTGACGTATTGAAGGATTTAGTCTATTGTTATAACAAAGGCGTTTCCTTTTAGGCAGATTATCAAATGGAGACAGCTGGTTTTATCCTGAAGATTGGGGACAAATCGGTTTAATGTTATTCTATTCGGGTGTAATTGAGTACGTCTTTCATTTCATTTCATTTCATTTATTTCAACGGTAAAAACCATTTATACAATAATAATAAATACATTTATGATACAGGCAATAAATCAGTCTTATGAGTAACAATAATAACAAGCAGAATAGGACTAGGATTAGGTCTTCTGACACTATTCATATATATTTTATCATAGAATTTAGATTTTAGAACAGAAGCTAAATAACAATAATAGGAATAGGCGTTAAAATGATAATAGAATTGATTAATTGTTTTGTCTTACGCTTTGGAATTTTCCTTGTAAATATACACTCCTCAAGGTTTCAATACCATATCCCCTTATTAAAAGAAATAATCTATTTCATCACTATTAGACTAATAGGGGCATTTCAGTCCAAGCTTGAGTTTAAAAAAATAGCAAGGCCGAAAATACACTTTTGTTCCTTGTGTGAACTATATTTTTTTGTCATATTGCAACATTCTTTAAGCTAAATAATTCACGAAACGTGAATTTTGTACATTCTTTTTATAAATTAGCTCCTAAAATAGTTCCTTTCTTGTTTTGTTATTTGACGTTACAATATGAATTACTCCGCCAACACTAACACATTCAATTAATCACCGTCATTCTATTATGATTTTTTTCAAATGCCGATCAAAGGGGTGCCGTACTTATTTTTGCAAAATACACACGAAGAAAATAGTAAATAGCAAGAAAACAGTATATATTATGGTGGAGACTTTCTTCAAATATCTGGAAACTCAATGGAAACGAATGAATGTTAAATGTTAATATCCTCGACTCCAGCTGATCATCATTCACTCGTAAGAAATAAGGACTAGTTTAGCTTCCCAACGCATGAAAACAGCAATTTTTGATTAAGTATGACCTGATTGGGCAGTTATGTATTATAATTTTCTCCGCGTACACTAACACACATTCTTATTTCAATTAGTGAAATTCGTTTATTAATTCTTCTGAATGTGGGTGAGAAGTTTGTGTTTCAGTGAAATTCAATCCAACAAAATTATGAACGCGAACCAATTTTTATAAACTTTTATATTTAATGACACTGTGGCATAATTATCAATTGGGGCTAATTTCTAACGCTAAACCAGTGGACGAAAGTTACCTACTAAATAGAACATAGAACTAGACTCACTCTTATGTAGTCGTATCACAGGTTAGGGCAGTAATAAATGTGTCAAACCTATAACAATATACAGCTCTATTTGATTCTTCCCCACCATAAGAGAAAATTGCTACTTTAGTCCAGCAATGAGTGTATTGAAAACAATGTTTATTGCTGCAGTGTGGCGAATAAAATTATTTTATTTTAAAAGAATTGAGGAACAATTATTGACGTTGTCAGGGAGTGTCAGACAACATTTACTGTGCAGAAATGTGAGAAGCAGATTGTGTTTCTATAGTAGTTAATGGCTTCGTTACTATTTTACGGTGCAAAACAAGTACAAAATAAGTCCTATTTCCAAATGTTTTGTTTTTTAAATAAGCCTTTTTTGCTTAGCCACGTCAACGTTTCATCCATATTTGGACGCGTAAAACTAAACTTCATGGCTAGTTATTTATCCCTAAGCTATATATCCTTTGAATATTACAATCTAGAAGGATAATAAATGTATTGTTTAAATACGATATTGTAAAAATTTAACGGTTTATTGCAACATTGGACATGTTTATCCAAGTGAAACCAATGGAAATCTGTTTAGATTAACCATAACTAAAAAACCAGAATAAATTTAATATTAATTAATAATTAATTGTTACAAATAAGATTTTTTCAATTTTGCTTGCATGGGATAAACAAAGTTTTTAGATTTTAAAACTATGCTACCAAAATAACCACACATTGTTGTTACCACCACCTTTTTTATTGTAAAAACGTTATCGGTGTCCATAAGTTATTCTAACATTGAATGAACATAATTTTATCTTGATGGAGATTTTATGAAGTAATTTTCTTTGTAAAAGAACGTTCGGTTATGTATCGCGTTAACAGATAAACGACAAAATCAAGTAAATAAAACACTGTATGGGTTGGTC